CGCATTGAACGTAGTTTTCCCTTTGATCTATAAATATTCTGCGTTAACGCGGGATTTTTCAAGATAACAACAAAAAATTACGTCTTCGCGGCTGGTTTCCACATTAAGGAAAAAATACAACGCTATTGAGAGGATAGCCAAGAGCCCGACAGTGGCGTACCACACCGCCGCGGTGAAGGTGACCGTAAAAATGGTCGTCACGAAGCTGGTAGGTGGACGTCGCAGGGTGTAACACAACTTTGTCGGCGGTGAGACTTTTATAAAATCAATATATGCTAACATCATTTTGGTCATATAAGGAGCGGTAACTGTAAAGAATCAATCAATCAAGTAAGACACACAATCTTCAAGGAAGTATTTGGAAGGATACCTGTTAGTAAATAATTGTTATCAACAGATTCCAAGTGTTTGTAATCGGGTACCACCTTAAACTCCGGTGTAATATTAAAATAAGCAAACAATTTCATGATGGGACCGTAGTTAGCTTTGGTGTACGTGTCTGTCCATTGATCACGAAAATCTTCCAAACGTGGTAGAGTTCGAGGACTACTCAAAACAATCGCAACCGGAAGTTTCATACCATTGAAGTTAATGCGTTTTTGTTTCATTTTCAGCAAGTTTAGGTCCACTTTTCTCCACTTCTCCATGTTAACAAGTAATCGTCGTAGATTTTCGAGTTGGGGACATTCCCAAGCCGATATATTCGTGATAATTTAACTAGGATATTTTCATTAGCGTTAATAAACCTCGCTGTGAAAATATTTCGACTTAGTAGGACATCTAGATCCTTCAGAAACTGATCAATCGGGGTGTCATTTTGAATTAATAACAGTTTTACGGCGTTATCAGAGAGAGTTTTTAAACTTTCATTGTTAGCAAGCATGAAATCGTAAATACGGATTGATGTTTCATTGTTGGTGAATTCCGCCGAGGAAATTTTAAGCAACTGCGCTGAATTTTTGAACAAATTTTGTTGTTCTTTGTCACTCCAAGACGAAAAATACAAATCAAACTTTCCATGATTTGATGTGATGAAATTGGATACAAATTCCAGTTTAATACTGAAAGCAATGCCGAGACTTGCAGAAAGTTGAATTTGTAGAATACATAACGCTGAAAATATGAGCTGCCTCATTGTTATGCGTTCAAACTCAAGACTGCGCATAAAACTGTACAATTTTAAATTCAAGCTTAATAAAACTAAAATGCCCAGCTTTTGTTATTTAATAAGGTGTTATAAAGTCGGCTGCAATGTGCAATTTTTCATTGATTTTTACGAATCGTGTCGTTGATTACGGTAATTTTTATCTTGCACATTAAAAAATTGCAGGTATTACTAATGCCTATACTGAAACGTTATATTTTTATAAATAAATGATTCACTTGTCCATTTGCTTGTTTTCTTACGTGATTTAATATCTCATTTCGTTGTGATGATTGTGTTACACTTATAAATATTTAGAATTCAGTTACAGCTTTCACAATCTCGAAAAATTGCAATACAAGGACGAATTTCAGGAGTCTAAACTGCATACAAATAGCACATGCAAAGAACGTAGAATTGCTAGCAGTTCTAGATATGTACATCATTAGAAAAATAAGCGTCCATCGTGTATAACGGAGGCTCTCAATGGCGGCGGCGCGTCGGAATGTTGCATTGCGTCAAATCTCTATCATGGAATTCGACGCGAGGTACGTCCGGCACTTATCACCGTCGTAATCTACGCGGCAAAATGGCACATCATCGTGCCTCGATTGCGACGCCAGGAAGGCGCAATCTTTGAGATCCGTGGTGGGAAAGACGAAAAAGCGTCTTGGCACGTCATCGTCATCATCATCATCATCATCGCTGCAATCACTGTCGGCGTGGGTATCGGCCACGGGCGTGCAACTGCCTAAATAGTCACTGCAAAAAGAGCCATTAAACAACACTGCTAATTGACATGGGCACACAGGGTAGCTCGGATACCACCATTCAGCCATCCGGCGCGCCCTGCATGCGCTGAGGGAAATGTCAGTGGTGTGTACTCGCAATAAAACCTCTCGGAAAGCATCGACGCTTCGGTATTTTTTTTTTTATATTTTGGGACGGTTTTATTGATTGTTTTTGATGTTGTCTTGTTTCGCTTTGTATCGTGTTCGCCTCCGTGTGTAGAATCGAGAAGTGTAGACGCAACGTGTGTATAGACGTGTAACAATGTGTGTTTTACAAAATCTACGGTCTGTTAAGTACATCGATCGGCACACAAATCCACAAGAACGAAAACACGCTACGCACTAGAAAAACGCTATGAAAACCCAAACGTAGTACTCTCCGTACGCATGGCACTTTGAACAAATCAACTTACTACGTGGTAGAGTTATGCCTAAATGTCGAGATAAATCAATCAGTTAGTTATCAACACTACATTCTATCGCTAGGTGGCTAAAGTCTCTAGTTTTGCACAACTTCTTGGTCCAAAATCTTGCATTTTTGGCCTCTTCGAATTTGTTTCCAAAATGTATACGTTTATCTTACAATTTGCGTTGCTTTGCTTTTATACTCTGCGTTTGCTTGCTTCGTTTAATTGGCATAGTTTGCATGTAAATTTTAAATTTCTTGAAAAGTTTAACATTTTGACACGTTTTTCTTTAAATATTTATAAGCATTCTTTCGTAAGAGAATAAATGTCGCTTTAAACTTGATTGCTTCAGAAATTGATTTGCTTCATTTGTATTCACTAAGTTTATATATTGCTTATCATGAATTCATACCAAAGCTTTGAAGCTTAACAATTAACAGTAGACGAGTGAAATGGGACAATGTTCAGTGTGATGTTTGAGGTGTCGACAATCTGAGGTTTTTGAAGTTTCGGGCTGAATTCATGGTAAACGCTTGCTTAAAAATTGATTATCGCTTCGAAAAAGTATTAAGAATATTGCAGATTATAACGAATTTTAGTTTGCTCATTAGATCCTAGTTGGTTTGTTTCGTTGGAACGCTACGACTATAAATCGGATGGTGTTTGGTTGCGGAGTTGCGCGTCGTGCTGCCCTGTAATCGCTAGTGGCCTACGTAACGAGCGCTACTGCGCCGGCGCTACCGACCCAGCTCGCCGACGATCGTCACCGTGAGCGTTTCGTCGCACGCCTCGTAAGCGTCGTCGCCGTGATGGTATCGCCGTCGAAAGACGTCCGTTTCTACCTCATCAGCAACGATACTACAAATGATAACGAACTACAATTACTAAACGGGCTACGAGAACGCAAGAGGCGACAGATAGAAACGCAAAACAAAATACGGAGCTTTCGAACGTAACGCAGCAGGAGAAACAAAGAGACAAGGAGATAGAGAAATAGATTAAGAGAGAGTAGAAAATAGAGACAGAATTTCAGAGACTACGCTATCGGTCAGCTGCCGCTAGGCGCCGCTTTGTGATCGCATTCGCACTCCGCGGGCACGACCTCCTCGATCTGTTTGTGTTTGCGTTTTCTGTACCTTGCGCCCCCGGCCGCCGCCGGCGTAGGCGCACGCGGCGCTGCGGCGGCGGTGGTGGCGGTTGCCGTTGCAGTACCGGCACCCGCTTGCAGATCGCCGATGAGGTGCAGCAGGTCGGCCACCCCCTTCAGCATTTCCGGCTGCAGCGCAGTGGCCGTACGCCGGCACAGCTCACGCAGCTCGACCCCCTTGAACATCTCCTGGCGCACGATGTCGTCCAGAGATGGTCCATCTCCTGGGTTGGTGGCGGCAGACGCATGCGCGTCAAAGATCAACGTGAGCACGTCGGCGATCTGTTCAGGGGCTGAGGATCTGTCCAGTTCGCGTCGCAAAGCGGTTGGGGACGCGAGCAGCGCGTCGGTCGGTTCACAGCTGAAAGAACCCACCATATCCACATATACAGATAACCCTAGAAGGGTACCACGTATACATACCCAGTGGTCATTTCAAAGAGGAGGTGACCGAACGCGAGGACCTCGTCCATCGCCGGTTTCCGCGCGAGTGACAGGCAGAACAACGTGTTTTCCAGCCCCGCCAATCGGGCGACTCCGTTTTGGATAATCACGTTACCCGCATGCAGGTGGTAGAACTTTGGAAAGCTGCGGGCGCGCAGGAACGAGAGAGCTTCCAAGATTTGTCGAGCCAAGTACTGTATCTATAGCAAGAGTGGGTAGAATGTATTGATTTTCAGCATTTCTTGGGAATATTTGAGCCTTGACCTCACTCACAGTTAGAATCTATGAATAGCTCACCCCATGTGGGAAGTGCTGATCAAATCGATCAAATATTGATCAACTCACCTGCCTATAGGGCAATCCACGGCCTCTGCCCGCATGCCTCCGTTCGTAATGCTCCCCTCGATAGATCAAGTCCTTCAAACTGCCATCAGCACTTAGAGGTGATACCACCGCCGCGCCTGCCCCATGCGTCAAGTCCCAGAATTCAACATCCAGGATAGGTAGGACGTAGGGATGATGCAAAGACCGGAAGAGATCCATCAGAATCTGTTTGGTGGCAGCGTTGGGCTTGATGGGCGCCGCGCTGGGTAAATCCACTAAGGACAACAGGCGCTCTGCGTCCACATGCTTATCCTTCACTATAAACCTGATAGCAAATCGATGAAGTTGTGAAGAGGAAAAAGTAGAAGAAATATCCTGAAAAAATGTTTACCATTGCTTGTTGAGTCGGGCGCCGATTTTGCCCAGGCTCCCAGTGAAGAAGTACCGACTTTCCAGGCCAAGGTGACGCTGATATTTGGCGAGTTCCTCATCGACCTGCTGGCGAGGACGGTCCTCGATCGACGGCGCCTGCAGGCAGTGAAGGCCCGCCGTGTTATCGAGACTCACCGCCGTGTATTCATGCCTTGGCACATTGGACCTTCAAATAAAGCCCCATCAAACTCAACAACACTCACGCTTAACATTTAATAAGCAATCAATGAACCACTGAATTAAAAGTGCATTTTTCACATGGGAAGCCATTTAAAATTGATGCAATGGATATTCCCTATTCATCATGCATGAGTTTCCCGTTCACGTGGGAGGAGATGTCTAAAAACAGCAGCGTCTGTTACTTACTTGCATCGCCGGATCCAGAACACGGCGAGCGCCACGACGCCGAGTCCGAACAGCACGCACAACGTGATGAGCTACGAAATTAAATTCCATACGCGCCGAATGAAAGAAACTGATTGGATTAAATTTGAATGCAGTCCACTCACCCATGGATGATGTGCTGGTGCATGGTGCACGTTGGCGGCCGCATGGTGATGCAGCGCCGTGCCCGCCGCACTCGCCGCCGCCACCGACGCTTTCATGGCGAGGTATTCGTGCCCGCATCAACCATCGCCGACGAAACGTCTCCCTGCATGCATGCGAGGCGCAGGAAACACAGCGGAAAATTGATCAGCGTACACGCAACGCGCTCGATTGCTGCAGGCGGCCTGGCGGGATGATCAATAAACCTCTCGTCGTGGAAAACGCGCATTTCCCGACGCAGCGAAAAATTTCCCGACGTTAACACTAGTCGCGCATAGGTAGCGCTAGCGAACCGCCGCGTAGTATTTATCATAAATTTAAACATAAACAGTTAACATGTTTGATTACACACACTCAAACCCACACGCCGGGTAATCACATCAACCAAAATTGAGACAATTGCTCGTTAAGCAATCAACAATCGCTTAGATTACAATTCGGCGCGCACTGATATCTCGTATTGTTTTGTTTTGCTTTTTTCGTTTACACGCCGCCGCCGGGCGCAAAAGGAAAACATCGTGATTGATTTGATATTGACGTGACCGGCGCGCGGTCCTGCTCCTGCACCAGCACAGAAATCAAACGAATCAAGCAGCCGGCGCAAATGAACACAGAGGTCAAATCGCGAACGCGCAATAAAAAGGAACACAACAAGTCGCCGGCGCGCTCCTCGACGCCGTTAATCGATTCAATTAATATCCAATTATTAGTTGGCTTATTGCGCGTTTACATCACATCGAATGCTTGTTGCATGCATTCACACTCCGATGCAGACGACGCTTTTTTTTCAACATGTGCGTGACGATCTCGACTCAAATTAGCACACAATAACATTTATTGTTTATTTGCGTATTGCGAGATTTGGATGAGTGATTGCCCAATCAAGCGTGTATCAAACACTTTAATCGGTGATTCTGGGGTGTCATTTCATTAATTACGTAACACATTCATAGATTTCGTGTGGTTTTTTTCCGTTTTTTTGCCAGCGCAACTGATATTAATATGCATGCGAAACTTGTTTTTTTTTCCACGACATTTTTTTCGGTTGTTTTTCAAATTTCGAATGTGTATCGGTCGAATACCTCGCCTGACCCTATCACGCCATCATGCGTTCTTCGACGATATTACCATAGTTATCTCTGCTTAACATTCCGCTACAAGTTCGCACTTTTAAACAAATGCTAAGTAATTACATGCGGTTGTTATTGTCACTCGACCAACGCGCGCCTCCGCCCGTATTTATTACAATATTTATACGAAATACCCTATCATCGGGTATTAAAGCCTTATCATACAAACGTGTTGTGCGAACTTTTTATGTTAAACACTCGTATGTTGCTGAAATTTGCATGCGTTGTGAAAAACAACTCGAAACTAAAATCCAACACTTTTATTAACATTTCATGATCAATTAAATAAATGTTTTGTGCACCGTTTAATTGCCCGCGCACAAAGTGTAATAATCGTTTGAATTTTGCATTAAATTGAATGAATTGCGTAATTTCAGCGGATTCATTGTGTTCTGATGCAATTACAACGATATCGATAATCTATTACGGGAATTGCCAAATTTCTGATCATCCGATATCGTATGATTCGTCTGCCGATAAATATTGATAAGGCGTGAATGTGTGCATTGATTGTTTAAGTTGTGCTATGCGTTTTGTTTGCATTCCAGCTGCAAGTTTTGAAGTTTATGTAACGCGAACTTGACTAGTTGTTGCCTTGGCCTTAAACTTCAACCAAAACACAAACAGCGCGCGAGCGCAAACTTAAGACGCAATTACCTGTATGAACATTCTAAGTACATAGAGAAAAAAAAGTTTAAACAAGGTAAAAGGCAGAGCGTGCGAAAGTAACGCTTGCGTATGCGGTGACGTCTTTTGTTGGTTAACTTTGTTTAAATACCAGCTAGATATTGATATAGATACAATATAAGTCGACAAGCACACATTTTTTGCGGATGATAATGATAAATTATGTCTGGTGCGATTAAATCATTAAGTTTTTACGACGAGGAAACAAATTGGAATAAATTAGTTTAATATTTCAATCATTAAACATACGAAAAAATTTGTGGCAAATGTTCCTTATTCCAACAGGAAAAAAATTGCATTTTGTAATTCATTAGGTCGAATTGAATGCATAATACAATGCGCAACTTTCTTTCTTGACATGGTAACGCACGCCCGCCTGTTGCCACCGAATTGTGACAATCACGGTGTGTGCAACGCATTTCCAATGATAATTTCGTGCCATATACTTCTATCGGGTTACGTCGGCTTAAGGTTGCGCCCCATATTCAGGCGCAGACGGCATCGAAATCGCATTTGACTTGTAAATCCACGCGCGCCGATTGTTATGCAGTTTCACTACCGTTGCGTCTGTGTGCGCGAATATCGAAAAGATGAAAACGCAATTTTATTTTTGTTTTTACAGCGCAATTAATATTCACTTGTGTTTATGATGTAAATTATTATGAGTCGTCCAATCGTGCGGTTTTGCGATGCAAATCTCGACTGACGTACATCCAACACACTGAAAACTAGCGTGAAATTTGGAAAGCAGAGTTTAAACATTCGAAAAAAAATTCTATTCACAAATATTCCAATAATTTCGAAGGGATAAAAATGTATTGTTTTCAAGCGCACCGCAATGACCTTTTGCGTCTCGAATATTAATAACTGGGCCAAAACCAATACTAACGGTAAGGTTAAAAAGTGAATAAGTAAACATCGAAGTAACGAGCAAATATTTGAAATCATCATCATACGAAACTGAAATTTCAGCTTTTTGATGTACATAAATTATGCGCATCTGTCAAAGAAACTCCGTCGTACATTCAAAACCCGTAGGAGTTGATGAATTCGCCGCTATACAGTTTGTTTTCCGCGCTTGGCAAATCGAAATCAAGCGCCAAAGGTGCCAAAGTGCATACGTTATGAGTTATGAGGTTTCTGCGCCGCCATCGCTGCCTCCGCAACCGCCGGCGTGGCCAGATTCGTCGCAAACAAGCAGCGCCCGGCCTCTCCTGCGCAATAAAAATAAACATATTCACTTTTATTTTTACCACCATCCTCGCTTCCCATCCGATTCAGCGACGGCTGAAAGACGCAAGTGTCTCCGGACATATTTTACAAAATAACAACCTGATTACGGTTATCCTAGAATTTTCATGCGCGGCCTTCGGGAATTGATTAACTCACAGTGTCATGGAAACCTTTGTGTTGTGATTCGAACTAAGGCTGCAGCAATTAGCGACCGAATCACAACACAATTTCGTTCCGCACATGGTAAACGTTGAAAATTGCGGGAAAACGTGATGTGCGCGCTATAGTTTTGAATACCGCGAAATGCTTGAGGACGACGCGGACGTGCGCCGTAGGTGATCGAGGTTTGTTTGATGTCTGACTTGTTTATTGCCCTCGTCGCGCAATTCGCACGTTTTTCGGCGAAATGTGACCGAAATGAAAAGCAGCATTATATTTTCATGATTTTCAGAAAATACACATCAAAAACAAACAAAAACAACTCCGCTCTCCGCTGTTGGTAAACAAATCTTCCATTTTGTTTTACAATCAGGCGCACGTCAATCCGCCGCACGTCAAACGGTTTTTTACGAGCCCCCAAACGAATCAAAATAACAACATTACCCGTGCTCCTCATTCACGTTCCCACCGATTGTCTCTCATGCATGCATGTGCGTCAATTACCGCTTAATTTCTTTAGCGTTCGCTGGCTGCTAGCCGTAGGTAATTAAGAATCATACGATGTTTAGTTTTTGTGTAATTCGAATTATAATTAACATTTAGCGTTTAGCCGAATAAAAAGCGCGCTTTATTTTGTAACCAAATCAAATTGCAAATCATTTCCTTAATTGTAAATAGTTTTTTAAGTAAAAACTCACCTACGAAACGCGGAATGTGCTTCGAAATATGTAACAGTTGCAAGTTATAAACACGTTCGGCTGTTATCTAATAAATAACGAATATTGATACGAAACAATTAATCAAGAATGCGCGCAACATTAATAATAGTTGGAATATGTTGGAATATGTAAATGACTAGAATGTACGGCCGACAATCGGATTGTGACTGGACGCGGACGTATTTTTTGATAAGAATTTAATCGCCGCAAGGGCCAATCGCCGCTGCTGGGAGTAAATACCCTTGAAAACCAGTCGGCTGGGATTAGAATCGTGCGAAATATTTGACACAAAATTTCTTTCGAAGGTGAAAACGAACTTCACCTACTTACAATGCCAATTCCTTTCGATTTGTAGCTTAAAATATAAAAACTAACATTTTAAATCAAAATAAAATGTGAGGAATGCGCGTTGGCTGAATTCAAAACAGAAACAATAAATAATTAAATGGAAGCTGTTGAATTTATTCGAGTTGTTCCCATGTATGCGACACGATCCGAATGGGTCTGAATGGGCTGTAGTCGATGCAATCGCACGCTAAAACTTGGTGGAACCGGGGGGGACCATGGGTTTGGTGGGCGCCCGGTAGAAAATCATACGACATGACGTCACCCAACCAGCGGCATCACACCATCCATACGCAAACGCGTCAGGTGTGTGCGCTGAACAAGGAGCAATGGAGTTGTGTGTGGTTGGGCAATGGGTGCGAGCGGTGCGGCGGCCCCTATATAGCACCGGCGTCCGTGGAGCGGCGAGAGGATCGCGGATCACCCAGCTCGCTACGTTCGCGCCGATCGCGCCTTCGCTCAGTTCGCTCGAAGTCAGTTAGTCGGCAGCATTCGACGTGTTTGCACGCGCACCGGGCCCCATACCTCTATCTCTCGCGCTCCCTACCTGCTGCTGCTGCTTCCACGTGGTCGTGGTCCGACTCAACTCTTACTTACAAAAGTCCAACTCACCGAATCGCTGAAAACCAAACATTTTCTCAACAAGAATTATTATTGCCCCTGTTACGTAAACGTTTAAGAAGATCTATTTATGTGTTAAGACGAAGTATTCAAAGAGAAAAATACTTAAAATTCCAAAGATTAAGTGCGCTAAACGTCACTTACTTACTACTTACCTACAACAACTTACTACCGACCGGAAGTACCTAAAGGGAAGGCCTGAAGAAGAATGAATACTGTGATTAAACAAATCAAAAGGTGTTTTACCATCTATACAGCATTATTTATAACACGTAAGTCGACTTAACTGCTTTATACTTGGATTAGACTTAAGATGAGCATGATGCGCACTGAAATAAATCAAATCTTCGGAAGTAAAAGTCATGCATGGTTTTTTGCACGCACTGTCATCACTCTTCAATGTTTATTTATTTATTTAAGTGCGATATTAATGCTCTTTATCTTAGTATTAAATTTCTACTGAAATAAATTACGTAAAACGCGCGCAATTTTTAATTACTCAATAAAAACGCGATTTTCGAAACTGTTAAAACGTTTTTTACGAGTTTAACTTTTATTTCTGCCCCGAAATCAGCGAAAATTTCAACACTCGACGGAAATTTTGTGGCGGCTAGATAAGTTTTGATTTTATTGCGGCTGGCCTTGGGCGCTGGAAAGTTTGACTGGAAATTTTCGAACATCTTGATTTTTTTTTCGAGTTTCGTACGATTGCATCGCGAGTAAAGTAGGCATGAATGGAGTGTTAATTCATGGCAATTGTGCATTTATCGGCGCGCGTTTTTGTATACCAATTGAGCGCCGTACTGAGCTCCTAATTGACGAATAAGGACGATGATCAATCATACCACGGACCAATAACAGCGCACTGCTGAAAATCGTACGATGCGTGAATCATTGATTTGAAAAAAATGCATCATGCATGCAAATACTATTTGTATATACCTACTACAATATCGCGTGTCTCCTGATAGTCACCCACGCCGGAGAAATGAATTGGTGAATCACTGGCGTAATGATAATCGGTGCGATCACAATCGTGCGAAATACGGCGATCACGGACAACGCTGATGAGTTGTAAATAGTCGCGTACTCTCGCGCGTAAGCAAATTGTGAATTGGCGAAGCGGCGCGCTATTTTCGTGCGCTCGGTGCGAGCGAGCGCGCGCCAGGTGAGGAACACACGTCGAAGACATCGTACGATACGCGTCCGGCCAATCGGCGGCGAGTTTGAGCTGGGCTCGACCGCCGCGCGCGCACCAGACGGCATTCGGCGCGGGCAAAACACTTGTATCATCGGCGCGCCGCGCTTGCTAAACTGATTGTGCGATTCGATTGAGTGCCTTGCGCTCTCATTCACGTTGAGTACCGAATCGGCGCACCACGCTTATCTATCCAGTAGCACTATCAGTTTTCTGGTGGACGCGCGCAATGTTTACGCAGGAATTTGAATGAATGCCAGGAAAAACTTATATTTGTCTGTGACAAACCTTGAGTTGACGTGTTTCTCTGTGTTTTTTCAGTGATTACATCGCGGTTTGCTCGTGCGATTCACACGCACTGCGAGCAGGAGCGACTTATCGAATGCGCCAAGCCGATTTCGCTGATTACTGAATCCGGCATGACATTCGTCTCCAACCGCACGGACCTAGAAAGAGTTTGCCCGTAAGTATCAAATTTTCACGCAAAAAAACAACGAAATTAATTGGAATTTACCTGTTCGCAGAGACTTAAAAGGCGCTATAAGATGTATCCACTCCTATACACGCATGTGCATGAGTATGCACCACCGGAAACACTTCAACAAACTCTTCCAAGGCACCAGCATGGTGGTGCGCGAATTATGCGACAACGCCACCTATCAAGAGGAGTACCTCAAGTATGTGCCCTGTATGAAGCAAGTGGCGGATAAGAATCAGGTCTGCTTCGATCGCTACTCGCAAGCGATGAAGGAAATCCAGGGACGGCCGCGAATTGATGAAGTCGCCGTCGAGGATGTGCCCGCTGTCGATATGGTTGAATATCAACGCAAGAGGAAGCGTCAAATCGCCGACGAGGGCATCAAGAATGTTTGCTGGTGAGTGGTGCGCATGCGCAACTTTCATCTTCACGTCAAATATTTATCGCACAAAAAGTTTCGAAAATTTACGTTTGTTTTGTGCGCTTCTTTTGCAGCACCTTCCAAGAATACGTTGAGTGCTCAACGGAGACAACGGAACGTGCGTGCGGTGCGCCCGCCGCTGAATTTAGTCGGAACTTCCTCGACAGGATGTCCTCGGCCATGATCAAGGTATGTACTACCTGTTTTTCAGTGTTTCTGGAATGGCAGCGGCCGTAAAACACGTTTGGCGGGCGGTTTTTGCTCATGTGTGTCACTCTTGTGCGTTACAGAACCACTGCTCGGAGTACAGCTCGGCGCAGTGCGGATTGGCGTCCGCTTCGAGTTCGGCGTCGCTGTCGGCGAGTTTCTTCGGCATGCTGACGGCGCTGATCGCCGCCGGCCTGCGATACACGCTTATCAGCTGAAGTGATTCCGACTGGAAGTTTCCACACCGACGCCACCGCATGAACAAACTGAACGCGCTCGCCACGTTCGGCTCGACTCAACCAAGACTGATCTTAGCTTATTATATTCGCGGCGCACGCATCGATCCTTCAAAGTGCGCTTTGTTAATTAATTCCTAGTGAAGATTCAAATATCTATTTATTAATTTAAAGCAATTGTAATATATATTTCGTAGTGCAAATGTTGTAATACTAGGGCGCAATAGGTTGGAATTTATTTATTTCTTATTTAAACATGGAAAACGGAAAGGAAAGGAAAAAGATTGTCTCAAACATGAATCTCATTCAAAACTGAAACACTGTATCTAAACAAATAAACTAATAAATTTAAAAAAATCAATTTACTTTTACCGCGACCGGAATTATCAACATGTAATTACCGAAAACATGTCTGCCGAGAAGCGATAATTATAAGTAAAGGGTAGGTGTGGATGACGCACGCACGCGTTTGTGAATTAATAATGATTATATTATTATTATTAATATTATTCTACATTGACATATATGATGATCAATCAATAATAAGTATTTACAAGTTTATTTCCATCCGCACATTGACGACACCTGCTGCACGTTCTTTTAAATCTTTAAATTAATTACTTTAATAAAACTTGCGCTCGCGTTCTCGCATCGCCCTGCATCCCTACACCGGTGAGTCGGCGCTCGATTTCTCTCTCTCCTCACGCACATTTAACCATAGTTACACAAATAAAAAAGAAATTAATAATCGACGTTCGATACTGCTGCGTAGAAAAAAAAAACAAAAACAAATATTATAAATTATATACGATTTTGTGATGATCAGCAGTAGTAGTGTTGGGGGTTGGAGTAGTGCCACGGCGTAAATCCAATCAAATCAGCCATAAAAAATTGTTTCAACTATTCGCCGCCTTCATTCTCTGTGTGTTTGTGTGTGTGTTTTGTGTGTCGGTGGTGTGTTTTAGAGCTGTTTTTTTCTGTTTATCATCCATGTTTTGGGTTACATCTAATTATTTGCGTAAGCTGCGCGCGTTTTTCATCCGCTCTTCTGCACACATAATAATTATAAATTAATTTTCTCATGTAATTATTTAGTAGATAAATTGTTGCAATTATTTATGCATCGTAATATATAACACAGTCCGTTGAATTTGAATTTATCTTGCATTTTGACGTTATTCGTAGAGTTACAACAGCGCGCCGGCGATGCGATGCTGTTCAGTTGTAGATTTTGATCGCCTTTTCAAGACAGTTGAAGCGTGCCCGCTTTGGCGCTTTGTTAATGTGTTCAAGCCCCAACCACGGCTTGTTATTGCCTGAAATACACAACATTTTTTCATATACAATCGTCTCAAATCTAATAAATAATATTCAATTACCTTGGGGCGGCTGCGTCTGAGGCCGAAACTCGTTGAGGTTGATCAAAGCTTCATCGTCGGAGAAGAAGCTGGGGCGATTCATCGAAATAACAGCGAACTTAAACTTCTCGAACTCTTTCTCCGGGAGGTTCAATTTCTTCTGAATGCGCTCGCGCACGCGCCCAAAAAGGCTCGCCCTGTTTTATCTTAATCAGGAAGGGTGTACCAAATGTGGCGTAGATATCTTTATAGAAATGCGCGCAGGACACCAGCAGCTCATCGTCGGCGATGTGCACCTCATCCAGCGGCACCTCCTCAATACGGAATACCTTGTTCGTGCAGATGGCGAGCGCGTCCAGTGAAGTATCCTCCTTGGGACCCAGACTCACCTTATTGGAACTCACCTCGGTGAGGCGCAGTCGATTACTACCGCCTTCAGTCAACTCCACCTGCTTTTTAGCTTCATCTAACAAATCAGCAACAGTACCGCCCTTGCTCGGGTACAGAATGAGTTCCTTCTCGTCCTTCAGCTTCGGCGAGATACACGCACTTGAACTGTTTCTTATTCTCCAGCTCATTGACGCGAATACTTAACTGCTGGTAGAAGATTTTCTTCGGCACCTTCGGTTTCGAATACACGAGTAGGTCTTTCAGCGTACCTTCGAAGGTGCATTTGAGCGGATTGCCGGGACTATCTTTGTAGTTCTGCGTCTTGAAGAACTGCAGCAGGTAGGGATCGGTGCCGACGCGTTGCGCCACCGAGCGCGCGATCTGATCATAAGTCATACGTAGTGACAACTCCATTGTGAAGCCCTGATCATTCGGTATGCACTTATCGACGAAGGTGACCTCCACGCGGAAGAATAAATCCTTGAAGAACTCGATGCACGTGGGCAAATCGGAGAGTTCTTCGCGTTCGTCACGTTCAAACACGAGTATATCGCCGTCCATCAACTCCTCGAGCACTTTTTCAAGCGGATCAGCAAGGCTGGTGATCTTCTCTGTCATGTTCGGGCGTATTTCTTCATACAGCGACAATTCGGTGTCCGCTGAGAACCCAGCGCGTTCATTCAGCAGCGGGACGATGTCAGCTAGCTTCGACGTGACTGGCAGATAACTATGACCGCAGTAATGCATCTTCTTCTGTTTCGGGTCGTAGAGTTTGAAGAACATGAGTACATCGGTGTCTTTATCAAACGCTGGCAGCGCGGGACTGCCGGAATCCGGCGGTAACAACTCGAGGAAAATGTGCCACGGGTTTTGATTCTCGGACGCCTCAATCACGCTCTTGTGTAGATCAGTGTCGAAGTCAAGGATACTGGGACGATAAGTGTTATTGGAACGTGTGGTGAACGGCCACGGCCGGATCTGCTCCAGCGGATACTTGAAACTATCAGCGAGCAGGTCCATCATCTCCGCCACGGTCGCCGATTTCTTGATTTTGAACACCCGATACAACGCTTTCTCTTGATCATAGAGGTCGTTACCTTGGTGGCCGTCGAATGAGTCCTCCAGGACGATGTTGAGCGTCATGTAGAGATGCGCTTCGTTGCGCTCCTTGCGTCGCACCTGTTCCATGCGTTTTCTTCAGCAAGGCGATCGCCTAACTCAGTTGGGATGTCGGCGTCGGTCACCTCCTGCAGGACATTATGCAGTTCGGAATCGCGGATGTACACCAACATGTAGGCGTTGGTGCAGTGCTTCACCGTCATGTTGATATCTTCATCGTGCCCGCCGTAGTTGTGATCGATGGCTTCCTGCTTGGTGCAACGCGAGACAACATCATCGTCGAATTTACACCATTTGCCATCACCTTTCGGGTTGATGAATACAACGTAGTGTCCGCCGTGGTTATCGCCAGAGTGTACCAGCACCGCATGCAGAGTGTAATTCGCTGGGTTGTGTGGATTCTTCTCTTGCAGGTAGGAGTCCAGTGAGATTTTCTCGTAGAACTCAAAACGATCGTTGAATTTAACCGAGCAGTCGGTGATTGGGTCATACTGGAACCGCATCAAGTGCAGATGTAGGACTGGTGGAAAGGCCGAGAAAATGACACCCTTCTCGGCGTCCTGCAGGCCGTGCTCGCCGGCGTCATACTTATTATCGCCATCGAGCGTTTCGCGCGCGATGTAGTCCTTGAATGATTCATCAATGTTCTTCTTGCCTTTTATATTAAGCTGGATGTCGTAGAACGTCTCCGAGCGGGTGCTGGTATAGTCGACGTTCTTGCACCGAATGTAAGACATCATCTTGCCTTCGAATAACTTCGGCACCGTGCCCTCGACACAAGTGCCCTTCATTTTACTTTCGAGTTTGTCGAGTAGAACGCGCAAGAACTCCTGCACGTCATGCTGCATGAAAGAGTCGAGCGCCTCCCAGCCGAAACTCTTCGTCAACTTCTTGGTGCCGACTGGCTTATCGCTGAATTGCAGCTCGTTGAAGACGCGCTGCAGCGCCAGCGCGACTGACTTGGTCGAGTCGTCCGACTCGGTGGGCATTTTGTAGACCGCCTTGCGCAGCTGGTTGGTGAAGTAAAGTGTCTGAAGCAATGAGTTCATGTAACAAGTCGCACCCTGGTTCTTCAACCCGACGAAGCCGGTGTGCTTCTTGCTGTCCCAGGAGACGCCGTGCGGCGCATCGGCGACCACGTGCACCTCCAGTGTAATTGAATCATCCTTAATGTACCCCTTTTCGGCGTCCAAGACGTCGTTCCATGCCATAAAATGTGAAAAACCCCAGTCATTCTCCTTGGAGTAGAAAAGATGCTGGATCTTGCGCGAGAACGGCTCGATCTCAGCGCGTACGGTGAGTAGGCGCAGCTCTGCGACAGCGTAACAGCTCCACGAGGAGGATTCACTCTCGCCGTTGCACTGCAGGAAGAATCCCAGCGAGCGCGACGAAGGTGCACGCTCCTGTCCATGGCTGGTACGTGGCATTACCATGATTTTCCATGGTAGATTTCGCACGTAGCATGGCGGGGAAAGCACCGAATCCTAAAATAAGCGCAGTAATAAAAATAAATCCAACGAGAGCGACACACACACACACAGGAATCTACCAAAGTCATTGCAATGATTTGCACTTTTTTTGAATGAACAATATTGCGCTGCGTGACAGCTGCTAATAGAGAGAGCGGCTTTTGACGAGCTTTTGTCATGCGAATTGCGCTTACCTTAAGCTTGCTGAAATGTTGCACGGAAAAGCGGAAAGTGGCCTCGGAGCGTGCCTCGTCCTCCTCCATGTCGGCGTCCTGCTGCATACTGCCCGTGGTGGCCACCAGCGCCGAATTGGGGTCGATCTGTGGCCCGATGATCGCGTCGCCGTTTTGCGAATCCATCTCACCGCCACCTGCATCTGTCATGAATTCCATTGGAGTGACTATTGTGACCATGATAACGCCGGAGACAAAAATAAACGTGAAATAAACGTAAATATCACGGACGGACGGGGGCGGCGGTAATTAAGCATGCATGAATCGTAAATCTAAAACCTGGTGCAACCGCGGACGCGAACTGCGAGGGTAGTACTTATGTTAGTATGGCCGGCGGTGATCTTGTTTTGTTTCGGGCATGGCCGACTGCGATTCAGATTTCTCTCTCGCAGTAAGGTTAGTGCCGCCGACGATGTCACCACCTCGGCAACCTCACCACCGACCGAAACGTCTCCCGAAGGACGGCATGCATGATCCACGACATGCCTGGGGCACAATGTGTGCACGTGCATGCATTAGAACCGGGAGTAGTAGGAGAGGAGGCGGTGAGGTTAGGGAGGGAGGACAATTGGGGGCGACACTCACCTTCCTGTGTTTCCATCTCTTCGATATCGTTGTGGGTCTGCTGCTGCTGCTGCTGCTGCTGTACCAAAGTGGTGTCGTTGCGACGTCGCTGGTCGTCCGTCGATGTCACGTGGTGATTCATCTCAGGCGGCGGCGTGTGCGCGGGGACGGTGGCGTCTGAGCCGGGGCCGCCGTCGTCGTTGTCGTGGGGCGCGTCGCCGCTGCTGCGGCTATTGCGACGCTGCCTGCTGCGTGGGCCGTCGGGGGCGGCCGGGCCGGTGTGAGCGGCTCTGGCGGCGGGGTGGCTGCTCGCGCTGTGCGTGGTCAACTTGACGAAATGCTTGCTCGCGATGCGCCCAATGATGTCTGCCGGTGTCGTCGCCCCGGGCGCCTCAAGCACATGCCAATCGGCGGCGGTGGCGGCGGCAGGTGCGGGAGCGGCGCACGCCCGCCGACCTCGGGATCGTGGGGCGGCAGCCGGCTGCTCGCCCGGCGGTTTGCTCGATCGCGGCGCGCACACACGAGAAAATAAACAAGATGGTGGTCGCGCGGCTCGCTGCTGTCGCTTTTGTCGGTCAAGGCGCGGTGGTTCAAAAGGCGCAGAACACTACTCACCGATGGGCGCAGGCAGGGACCGTCTAGCTCGTCGGCGCGCCGTCGCCGGGCTGTTGTCGTCGGCGGCGTAAACTTCTGCTGGTGTCTCGCCGGTGTAGCGGGCTCGTTTGCTACGCAGCGCTGGTTCGTTACGACTCTACCGTGGCGCCGTTCTCCACGACTTCTGCGGTGCGCGAGTGTGTGTTCGAGAGTGACAGTGACTTGACAAGCGGCTAGCCAATCCTGGGGATCTTTCCTGGTGACTTTTCTCACTTATCACCAAATGGAGGGGGAATCCCGCATTTGCCATGCACATTTCACAACCGTTACAGGATAACTAAATAAAAGCTTTTCAGCGCTAAATTTCTTGTATTTGTATATTAAACACTATTCAGACTGCGACAATTGTTACTACCGACGTCGTATCCGAGTGACTGCAGATGCTGCGTAATCACATTCAGCGTTAATTGCACCTCACCGCTGGAGACCATTCGAATGACTGGTAAAAAAATGATTAATTAAATTTCAACTGACAATACAAAGCGCAAAACAACATACGATTGCTGCCAGCCGTGGTGGCAATCATGGTCGGGCGCACCAATTCCGGTTGATAGCCGAAAAACGATCCAATGTATCCGAATAAACTTGATGCGATCGGTTTCGATAGATGTGCGCGTAGCTGATGAACACCGGCCTGCAACGGCACGTGCAATCTTCCATAACCTGCTAGCTGCATGTCGCAGTATACGCTCAGGATAATCTGTGGCCCTGCACAGCGAAAAAACGCATTGGTATTGTCGCCAAAAATTAAAAACTCAATACTCACATCCATAGGGATTAGTAGAACGAAAAACTATTTGTATCGGTAGATTCAAAACGACTTTTTCACCATTTTGAACAACATTGGCGATCTGCGAGAGGCCAGCCTGCACGCCGCCGACGCACCGCCAATCAGCGCCGTGTACAAATTCATATTTGCAATGCCAGCGCGATCCGGCGCCGGCAAGGACCTCCAAACACACCACTTGCCCAGCCAGCGATACCATAAACGAGCCCTCCGACATCCTACTAACCGGATTACTCTCCCCGAGCGCAAATACAAACAAATACTGTTATTCTGTTGCCATGGCGACCAAATACAAACTTAAACTAGGGAAATAACTAAATTTTACATCATTTTCAAATTCTCACATGGAAATAACGCCAATCGTAGGTTTAGGCACATGAAATAAGTTTATTTGCTACTCTGATCAGTGTGGAAGTATGTCTGCGACGCTTTTAAGTACGTCGGCGCCGGCCGGCGTGAATATCACGCTGGCGGCGCGCGGTGGGCTACGCTTTGAAGTCGGCCTTGCCTTCGTAAGTACAGCCCGATCGCTGGATAATCTGCGTGGCCGTCCAGATGCCGCAGCGGATGCACACGTCGAGCGGCTGCTCGCGAATGTATTGCGCGAGGAAACCGCCGACGAAGGCGTCGCCAGCGCCATTCGTGTCGACGAGTTTATCCTCTTCAAGACGCACGACGGGGAATTCGGTTATCTTGCCGTTGCTCGCTAATATCACCGGATTGGAGCCGGTCGTGAGAATTACAATGCGCGGTTTCGCCTCGTCCTGCTTCGGCAGAGAGCATATCTTCAACGCGATTTCTTTCAGATCCTTCGTGCCAAACGACTGTTCATTGGCGAACGTCTCTGCCTCCTGGTAACAAAAATGGCGGCGTTAGTAACTTCTAGGGAATTTTTTTTTGCGTGAATGTTTATAAACTAGTCTACTTTACGTACAGTCTCATTTCCGAAGAGAATATCGATGTAAGGCATCGCGTTCATTAACGGTTCCTTATAGAATTGAGAAATGAAAGGAGCGCTGAGGTTCATGATGAACGTCCGCTTCTGTGCGTGAGAGTACTTGGCCACCTCCATGATCGTCTCGGGATTCACAGTGAGGAAGAATCCCTGCGTAATAAAACGTAATCGTAAGATAATACTGTTTGAACAGATTAGATGCGTAATACTAACGGATATGTAGTAATATTGCGCCAACTCCATGAGTTTACGATTCTCCGGTTTGCGGATGTGATCGACTGTGAAACAATTCGCCGCAGCCAGATTGGCGCACAGCGACCGATGATGGCCGGTGATGAGTACTGCGCATGTCCCCGTGGGTTGCTTCACGTCGTACTGATACTGTACATTCACGCTATCTGCGCGCGCGCGCTCCTCAAGAATCTTCGAGTATTCATCCTCGCCGACGCAGCCGAAGAACGTCGCCACGCGCGGTTTGTCCAGAATCCACTGGGCGACGCGCAGCGAGTTCTGCACGCTGCCGCCGGCGATATAATCGGCGTTGTACTTCTCGACAATCTCTTTGTATATGGGCATGTGCTTCTCGTCGGCGAGGATGGCATCGTTCGCTTTCATATCGTACCGCTCCAGGTACGCCTCGTCGACGGACGCGGAGATGTCCAGCAGCGGGTTGCCAATGCCCAGCAACAGGCTCTCCCTGAAAACCGAAACATTCGGATATTAGTAAAGCGTTACTTGGAATTGTTATCGTAGGATTAATTACATATCGTGCTTTTTTGCCATGCTGAGTTACGGCGCGAGACTGACGCGGGCCGCGAGCCAAGCGCTTAAATCTTATCGCGGCGCAAGGTCAAAGAAAGCCCCATTGTCACTGGGAGACCCCGGAGTCAACATTAGCATGATAAGAGCGATTTATTAAGCCCGGCGGGTTATCTTGATTATGCAACGTGTAAACAACCGCTGCGGGACTCCCGACTCCGGGCGCGACAATTCCAATCGTCGCGTCGCGCACCACCGCACGTGTGGGCTACCAGGCTACACAAACCTAACCTTACATTTTTACCTTGGTGCTTCCATTTTCACGAGAACGCTATGTTACGATGAGATTGCGATGCGAGCATTTAAGACGAATAGAGTGTGGCGCGTTTCCCGACCGCCTGTGCCTCGTTTACGCGCTCAGTGGGCTGGAAGCGGCGATATAAATAAACGTCTCACATGTGGTTTTAATGTCAAAAGCGTCGCGCGACATCACTGATCCCTATAATAACACTGGATAGTCGCGGTGACCACGTGATCCGCCAGCGCTGGCTTAGTGTCACTTGTCATTTGCTGCTCGCAGGCCGCGCATACCTACGCGTAAATTACAAAAAGTGGTGGTGGAAGGCGTGTAGGCAACCCAAATAACAAAAGTGAAGGAAATATGGAATTATTTTTTAATTGTGCATAAATATAGCATGTATTATATATGATTATTCCAAATTCTTTACGTTTCAAACAAGGTTTATAAATTTCTCCTCTTGACATGCGCTTTACTATCCAGTGCATGTTACAAATAAATGCGTAGCTTGCGAATTCAGGAATGTCACCAACGACCTTCAACCTACAAGGTCGTTCGCACTGGTGCGGCACTTTCATGTGTTTTAAATCATTGTTTGTTTTTTTAGTTTTCAGATACACTTATCATACAATTATTCGAGATAAAACCGTTTGTTTATAAAATGCACTTTAATATTTACAACCGGCTTACGAGACTGTGCACATGCAGCTTATTCAGTTTAAAATTAAAATGCACGGATGCAAAGCATTGGAATTGTCGTTGTTTACATAAAAAAAATCAATTTCATTCGGTCGTAAAAAATATTCATTATAACAGCTTCATTAACTCGGCAACAACTTTGCAGTTAATACTATTTCCGAGAAGTGTATATCGCTGGCGATTTGTGACGCTTGCCGGGAAGCCGAACTCCTCAGGAAAACACATCAATCTGCAAATTTCTCGTGATGTAAAAAAGCGAAACTGCAACGATTTTAACAACTCCGTCTCGATTTTTATCCGAGTTTCAGGGTCTATTTCATCTTGTGTGTTTTCATTTAATCGCTCATAGACATCATCTACTTCAGCCATGGTTTTTGGAGTAAAAATACTTCCAGATCCTTCAATATACCTTCCATAACTCTTTGTAAAGCAACAACTTCTGTTGGAGTCTTTGTACACAATATCAAACAATTTCGACTTGTTTAATAACATTTTAATAGGCACATTATACTCATCTGTGGTCACATCTTCCAAAATCTTCTCTAAAGTGTATGGATCTTGTATAACTTCATCATTTTGAGGCAAGTTTGCCACTGCAGCCTCATCAAAAGGCTCTTTTAGCCACGCAATAATATCTCCGGCGCCTATTTGGCTCACCCAATTGATTAGGGCTTAACATAAACTCTTTATAATGAAAACCACACTTTTTCAGTGTTGTAATGAACATATTATGCACCTCAGACAGCTCAAAACCCCTCACATTCTCTAGCAAAAGCCTCTTGATGTCAAGTTCTGGTAGAATTCCAAGGAAATAAATGAATGATTTTGTTCTGGGATCATGAATGTCCAATTGCAGACCAAGTTGAGTGAATGGCTGGCATGGAGGAGACATGAAGACGGTGTCAATGTTCATCTTCTTGATTTTATTCACAGTCAGACCTTCTATGTTACCATTGATGCTATTGGTGGTCGGAAAATTGTGCGCGTAAACTTTGTTGGCTGTTGGGTTGATGTCAATTGCACAAACAACTTCTCCTTCAAGATTCGCCCCTAAAATATCAGATACAATTTAATTTTATGATTGAAAATGTTTATTATAAATATTACTTTTGAATGCAGTGTGCATTCCTCCTATTCCACTGTATAATTCTAAGATTTTCATGTTGATTTCGTCGTCAATTTCGTAAACAACTTGTAGTCGCATGCAACTTATTTGGGGTTATGTTAAGTTGTATTTTGAATTCATTTTTTGCTAAAATAAGGTAAAATAGTGGATGTAAGTAAAGAATAAAGGTTTAATAAGTGAAAAAAAGAAACAATCAACAAGTTTCGTGTGTTTTATTAATGATTTTAAAAGAAACTACAAAATTCTCGCTTTGCCCCCACCGCTGTAAGTTTTGCAGGAGCTGCAGGATGAGCAAACGTCAGAAAACAGCTGTTCGCGCGCTTACCGCGAGGCCATCCGTCCACTTGCGCCAACGAAACCCAAATAATGAATCAACCCAAATCAAGCGAGCAAGATATCCAGAGTTTTGGAGTGACTAATTAAAAAGAAAAGTGCTACGCACAACTAGAACAGCGTAGAATTCAACATACAGTGCAAGTGCGTGAATATGGACGCGTAACACTCAATTCGCACGCGGGATCAAAGTCGGCTGGCGCGATGCGAGCAACAGTAATAGTGACATTTTCCTCGTAGTTTCGTTTGCTTCCAACAAAAATTACCGTACGCGATGTTCCGCAGCCGCAGCTGGTTCGGTGGTGGCTGGGGCCGCCCGAAGAATCCGCACTCCCCGGAGCATCTGAAGTACCTCTACAATGTGCTGGTGAAGAACCACACTGTGTCTGAGTACAACAGGGGCCTGCTGGTGGAGTCCTTGCGCTCAATCGCCGAGATCCTTATTTGGGGCGATCAGAATGATTCATCTGTATTTGAGTAACAATTGTTTGATTTTAATTATTAATGTTTTTTTAATGTTTATTGTGTGTTTGCAGTTTCTTTTTGGAAAAGAACATGCTGTCGTTTTTCCTGCGCATCATGCGACAGCGTAGCGGCGGCTCAAGTTTTGTCTGTGTGCAGCTTCTTCAGACTCTGAACATTCTCTTCGAAAATATTCGAAACGAAACCTCACTTTGTATGATATTTGCGATGAAAGCCGTTTGGCCGTCGTCGTTTCGCCGCGAGAGGCGCACATTCACCGCGATTTGATTTGATTTCACTTATAAACATAATGCATGCTAAAGATTCAAGATTGAACTTAGATAAATTAGTTTAATATTCTCTTAAATTGTCAAAATCATCAACGAAGTCATAAATTGTTGTTGCAGCGAATGTGTGCCGCGTCCAAACGACTCGCGACGAATCAACGACGGCGAAACGACCTGTACCCTGATATTTATATTTATTTTTGTATTTTTATTGATTTTACTCGTCTACAGATTATTTATTATCAAACAATCACGTCAACTCAATCATCGTCCATAAGTTTGACTTCTCCGACGAGGAAGTGATGGCTTATTACATCTCCTTCCTGAAGACGCTCAGCCTAAAACTGAACGCGCACACGATTCATTTCTTTTACAACGAGCACACGAATGATTTCCCGCTGTACACCGAAGCGATAAAGTTCTTCAACCATCCGGAGTCGATGGTACGCATTGCTGTGCGGACTCTTACGCTTAACGTCTACAAAGTGGAAGATGCCAGCATGCTGGCGTTCATTCGTGACCGTACAGCAGCTCCGTACTTCTCCAACATAGTTTATTTCATCGGCAAACACATTCAGGAGTTGGATGCGTGCGTGCGCAATGACGCAGAGTAAGAATTTTTATTTTAAAACATCAATTATGATTTTTAACTGTGTTGTTTTGTTTTGTACCAGTCATCAATCACAAAATCGTTTGTCTGACTTGGTGGCTGAACACTTGGACCACCTGCACTACCTCAACGACATCTTGTGTCTGAATATAACCGACCTGAACCAGGTGCTCACCGATCACCTCCTGCATAAACTGCTCATCCCGCTGTACATCTACTCACTATCACCGCAACACAAACGCGATACGCCTAGTTCCACGTCGTCATCGAGCAGTACACCGCCTTCGACTTCTTCAGGGGTACCTGGTGAACTCAACGCGAAGGTATCCAGCGTTGTGGCGCTGTTTCTGCTCTCGCAGGTGTTTCTGATCATTTCCCACCCGCCACTTATTCGTACACTAGCCTGGATTATACTCAAAACAGACAAGGTTTTAGTCACGAAAGGTGTGGATAAATTACTAGAACAATGTGAAGAGGATGCCAAAGACACGCCGACAGGTGGCGTTAGTAGTACACCCAGGACAGAAAAAGAAGAGTCTGAAAAGGATGAAGAAGAAGAGTTGAGTGAACCGGATGTTACGAATGTGACAGATGAAGAGAAGGAAAAAATGGCGACGCCTGTGCCTGTACAAACAGAAGCGGCAGCTATGGCAGAGAAACCTTTTTTGGAAGCGGTGTTAAATGCACTCGATTGCAACGAGAATGATTATGCAGCCCTCTTTGCATTTAGCCTACTCTATGCTATGGCGAATAATAAAGGTACAATCTAACCAAAAACTCATAATAAATAAATAACATTAAAATTATTTGTATTGCACAGGTGTGACACCAGATTTGATCGAACTGATCCTCCGGCCGAAGAAATCAGTCATCGCTGCGTCTAATTCATCCGCAGGCGCAGGCGGCAGCACAAAAGACGTAAAATATGCGTATAACAACTTACTGGTAGATCGAATCCTGCATGTGATGATGCAGAGCTGCCAACCGCAATGTCGCGTACGCCTGGTGACACTCGAGCTGTGCTTGAAGCTGCTGGGTCAGCTGGTCACCTGCGACGGGCGCAACATTCTCAGCGAACCGCACCGCGCCTCGGTGGAGTCGGCAAAGGCGCAGAGCACCGGCCAGGTGCGCAACTTCTACAAATCGGAGGAAATTTTCCTCGACATGTTCGAGCATGAGTAAGCCTCTCTTTAATTAATCATACAAATTCACGAATTCTTTCTTTTGTTGATTGTCAAGGCGCATTATTCAAACTTTTGACGATAACCGGTATCCAGCGTTTGCAATGAGCGACGAGTTATGCTACGAGTCATCAGACAGTAACGCCTGATTCATTTACATTTACTTTTATTATACACTGTGTATTTTATAATATAATTTATATCTACTCACATTTGTTTTGTTTGTGTTTCGTGTGATAGATATTGCGACATGTCGAAAGGATCACTGAACGTTGAATGGCTGTGCATGGACAGCGCCATTTTGTTGCCGCCCACGGGCACGCCCCTTACAGGCATCGACTTTACGAAACGCCTGCCATGTGGTGAAGTATGTCATCTCGGTTTGTGAGGTTAGAAATGTTTGTATTTCATTGATGCGTGTTTTTGATTACAGGTGGAGCGCGCGAAGCGTGCAATTCGCGTGTTTTTCCTCGTGCGTGATCTTGTCCTGCAGCTGAATGGCGAAGTGGAAACGCAGCTACCGCTCACGAATCCGCACGTCTGCGTGCAGATCGACCAGGCGCTGGACCTGAGTATTGCTCGTTGTCTGTGAACGCCACGACGGCGCCGTCGCATTGCTCGGGTTTCCTTCCAATCCAATCACAATCTCACTGAGTAGCGATTGGTGGAAATCCCTAGCGATGCGGCTGTCACAGAAGTGATTTCATTGCGCATACAACGTGCTAATTTATGTTTCTTCGTTCGTAGACAACTCTGACCTCATCGCATGCACGCTGTCGATGAAAGACGGCATGAAACTGCGCCGGTTTCTCGTGATAGACATCCTGCAGTTGATTCTTGTCGAACCGGACACGAAGCGCCTCGGGTGGGGTGTAGCCAAACTAGTCGGTTTCCTGCAGGATATCGAAGTGAGCGGCGATAAAGACGATTCGCGTTGTTTGCATATCACTATTCACGGCCATCTTACACGAACAGCCGGACGTGCAGCGCCATTATTATCGGCAAAGTTTGTGTTTGACGATAATATACGCTGCATGGCGGCGAAGCAGCGTTTGACTAAGGGGCGAATCAAAGCGCGTCAGAAGAAAATGCAACAAATTGCGCGTCTGCTTGATATTCCGGGTCAAACCGGCCCGCCTAGCCCCGCTTATGTGGGTTCGTATAGAGGCGCTGCCTCCGCGTCCGCCTCTAGAGACTCTCGACCCTTGTTCACATCAGGGCGTGTTCCTGGTTTCGCCGCGCCCGTAGAGAACACGGAGTTGTCCATCGTGCGGATGAACGACGTCGGCGTGAGAGCGATAGTCCCAGTCGCATTGCAATGACGAATTCTAAAAAGGAAAACAATGGCGTTACTCGAGCACGATCACGAGAGCCATCTGGTGAGTGCCCCAATCACTCACATTGACTTCCTAAGGTATTAATATATAAAATCTATACAATTCACTGGCAGGAAGTAGAAAATCACGAGAGGGTAGTCCGCGCATGCCCCGCCCTCGTTCCGAGGAAATCCCCTGAGTTAATCAAGCGTGCGCCCGCCTCCGGTATTCTTGACATGTCACCGAAAGTCACAATGCCACGCCCACCACGCGCAGAAACACCCAAGTTGGAAGCGACGCGCAGCGATGACAGCGCATTGGATGTAGAAACGCCCCGAAGACTGCGCAGAAAGATGTGGATGTTGTTTCGATCACTAGTGAAGAAACATCGTTCACATTTCCTGATACACACGGCCAAACTACCACGACGATGACGACGACGACGCGAGCGATCACCAGCGTGCAGGAGGAGACGCCCAGTCGCCGCAGCAGTGCCAAAGGCACCATTGAGACAGTTTAACGACGCTATCATTGAATAAATAAATAAAAATTTGTTTATCATGTTGATTGATTTGTGCGCATGCGTCAGTGGCGTGTCAAACGGGCGCTCTTTTCAAATTTGTAGCATGTAACTTAAATTCAATTCGCCATGGACGACGAGGAGATGCTATCGAACGTGAGCGTGATGAAAATGAAGCAGATTTTAGAACAACGCATGCGATCCAATGCTGAGAGCCGATCGAAGCATATAGTGCGTAAGGATGTGCCGCCGCAGGAGAGTGCAATACCGCCGTAAGTTCGTTGATGTTGCAGGAAACTTTGGCGCAGCGGTTGCGATTTGAATTGTAACATGGCGGTTTGCCCCACCGCTTTTGCGTTCGTGAGCGCTC